ATTGAGAGATCCACAAGGTCGGCAAACCACGGACGCCGTGGCCAGTGTGAAGCAATCAAGAGTACTTCTGCACCTTCCAGGATCAACTTGCGTATGGTTGCCGGTATCAATGGGAGTGGTGGAAAGGCGTACAGGAGTTGCGCCGGCCACCGACACCTGAGAGCATCCATTCCCTCCGATCCCGGAGTCGGGAATCTGGAGAAGAACCTGGGTAGTTGCGTGTTCTTCGGAGTGGCAAATAGGTCCAGGTGCGGTCGCCCGAACCTCCGGGAGATCTCCTCGAACAGAGCCGGATCCAGACGCCATTCCGAGTGGTCCACCTTGGCTCTGCTCAGGGAGTCTGCCTGGAGATTTGCCTCCCCTGAGATGTGTTCCGCTCTGATGGAATCCAAATTTGCTTCCGCCCACCGAGCTAGAGCTGATGCTTCCTACATCAGTTCCATGGATCGTGTTCCTCTCTCCTTGCTGACATGGGCCTTTGCTGCCACGTTGTCGGTTAGAACGAGAACGTGTCTTCGCGTCACTAGGTGGGAGAATTGACGTATAGCCAGATGGATGGCCCAAAGTTCCAGCCAATTGATGCTGTGAGTGAGGTCCGATTGTTTCCACTGGCCCTGAGCTATCTGAGTTCCCAGATGGGCTCCCCATCCGAATAGACTCGCATCTGTCATGAGCGTGACCCGGGTCGGCTCCCTGAATATGTTTCCCTTGAGCATCGTGGGTGATATCCACCAATTCAGGGACCTCAGTAAGTGATTTGGTACCAAGACCCTCCTGCTGGAGGTACTGAGGTTCCTCCTCTGATAAGGGAGGAGGAACCACTGCAACTCCCTTGAGTGGAGTCTTGCCCATGGAACAATTCCCATGCAAGATATCATTTTCCCCAGGAGCTTCGAGAGCTGCAACAAAGGCACTCTCTTGTCTCTCTGAACCTGATGAACCAGCTTCGAGATGCTGCTTCGACGCTCCTGGGAAAGATATACCCTGCACTGGGATGAATCTATCACCGCTCCCAGATGCTGAAGCCTCCTTGTGGGAGTGAGATGGCTCTTTTCGAAATTGACTGAGAATCCGTGATCCTGCAGGATGCGAATTGTGGTCTGAAGATCTAATTTTGCTTGCTCATGTGAGCTGGATTGAATCAAAATGTCGTCCAGATAAAACTGTACGTGCACCGGCATCAACCTGAGATGGGCCACTATGACTGCTAGAATCTTGGTAAATACCCTTGGAGCTGAGGAGAGTCCAAAGGGTAGAGCCCTGTACTGATAATGCCGGTGTGCATAGGTAAATCTGAGGAATTTGCGGTATTTGGGATGGATGGGAATATGCAGGTACGCCTCCGTGAGATCTATTGAGGATAGGAGGTCTCCCTTCCTGATACTGGCTAGGATGGACTTTAGGGACTGCATTTTGAACCTCTTATAGGTTACATAATAATTCAGACCCTTTAGGTCCAGTATCGCCCTCCACCCTCCTGATGTCTTTGGGATCACAAAGAGGATGGAGTAGAATCCTTTCCTTTCCTCTTCCTTTGGTACCCTTTCTATGGCCTGAATTGACAAAAGGTGTGCAATGGCCGAGGTTACCAACCTTGCTTTGAATGTCTTTCTGGAAATGGGGCGCTTGATGAAGCGGTTTGGTGGGGGAGAGTAAAACTTTAAGGTCAGGCCATGCCTGATTGTTTCCAATACCCAGGCGTCGGTAGTGGTGTGCTCCCAGACCTCGGTGAAGTTCCCTAACTGACCCCCTATGGGAGTGTCTTGTCTGGCGTCACTTGGAACGTTTAAAGGGTCGGCCTCCCGATCCTCTGAAGGGACGCCTGGATTGGAATTGGCCTCTGTCTCCCATGTTTGGGCGATCCTGGGAACGATCCTGTCTTGAATAGAAGGATCGTGAGCCTCTAGACCAGTCCCAGGATTGCCCTGATCGAAAGGGCTGTCTCCAGTCCCAGGAGTTTCCTGGGCAGAAACCTTGTCTCCGGAATTCTTGAGTGCCTCTCCTATCCAGTTTCTTTGATGGGTGGACTAGAATCTTTCTCTTGTCCCTGCTCTCACTTACATGTGGATCCAAAATGGATCCAAACAAAAGTGACCCACTGTACTTGGAGGTCGATAGATGCCACTTGGCCTTTAGGTCTGTTTTCCAATTTTTGAGCCACAGTAGTCTGCGAGAGGCTACTGGGGCCGCAATTGACCTTGCTGCATACTTGGTTGCGTGAAGTGAGGCGTCAGCCATAAATTGTGAGGCAGCCAGTATCTTGGCCAAAGTTTGGTGAGTTCTGACCTGATCAGGAGGTACAGTGGTTTGCAGCTCGCGAAGCCACATAATACAGGCCCTGGCGAAGAATGACGAGGAAGTTGCCACCTTGGCCGTCCAGGCTGCGGCCATGTGGGAACGACGGAGGGAGTGCTCAAATTTCTTTTCCTCTGGTTTCAAGGCCTCCGCCATGTCTCCTGGAATCGCAGAAGTGGAGAATAATGAAATCAGGGGACTATCTACTGTGGGGACATCTAGCATGTCGGAAAAGGAAGGAGACACATTGAATAGCTTCCTTTCCACACTGTTCGGTGTAGGTGGCGTTGCTAGGGAAAACCATTGCTTCTCTACCGAGGTGCAGAAAAACTCGGGACAAGGAATGTACTTGTCCTGTGCTACTTTTTTGGCAAAAAGGGAGTTTGCCTCCTTACTTGTGGAAGGATTTTCCTCCTGAACTGAGGTCAGATTGACCGTAGAGACTGCCTTTATTAAAAGTGATTTGAGAAGAGCTGGGTCAAAGAGGCCAGAGCTTGTTGTCTGCTCAGGAGCGGTCCCCTCATCCTCCGAAAGGGGCATGTCAGTCATGTCCAGGTCTAATGATTCTCCCTCTCCTATTTGAGAGGAGGTCTCAGAAATATTTGTAGCCGGAGCCTTGTTTCGTCCCTTAAGGGATGGTTGAAAGACTACTTGACCTTTAGAGGCCATAAACTGGGAAATTGGGCAGACCATATGTCCTCCTGAGCTCTGTCCATAGAAGCCGCCACAGTGGGAGTATGGGCTGGTGAGGATGCTGGTGAAGATGAGTGGGAGGAATCCATCTGTTCGGTTTCCCCCAGAGGAGACCAAGATCTAAGTACTTCCTGGGAAGTAGGTTCTGGAATAGGGGCCACCAATGGGGCAGGGGAAACCATGTTTGCCCCATTGGAACTGGTTCTCTGGGCCCTGGCAAATTGTCTTTCTAGAGCCAAATGTCTCCTCGAGGCCTCTCGCTCAGCTGTTTTGGATGGTCCCTTTTGGGTAAGGTGCTTTGTTTTGGCCTTCTTCTTCCCCCCCACTTCAGATTCTGAGGATCTGTGTTTTTGTTGTTGTGGGGGGGGCAGTTGGGGACCCTGCATAGCTGAATGCGAGACATTGTCTGCCATTGTGGCCAGGTACCCCGAGTAGGCAATACCTAGAGTGGGGAACAAACTGCACGCAGATCAGTTGCAGATAATTGAAGCCTGCAAGGCTTATTCTGCACAGAAAACAATGGCCGGACAAACAGGTTCCTTTGGAAGGAAGGATCCTGTGGGGCAGTGACTAAAGGTCACCCTAAGGAACATTGGAACAATTCAAATTTTCCTCCCTCTCCTTCACCAAGGGCAATTGCAATGGCCCAGGGTTATTAGAAGTATCGCTTGTTGGCGTAGTGAATATTTATTCCCCAATATGTGGCTGTTAAAACAGGCCACAGGGTGTAAGCATAAGCTATCTCTCACTCTTCTTCTCTATCCCTCTCTCTCTCTTCTTTTTATATTGTAAAATGTATAAATGGTTGGGAATACCTCCGAGTGGATGGCCCACCTAAAATGGAGGTTACAAGTAGTACACCCAAAATGGCGTCTAAACTGAAGGCCACGCCTTCCAACTAAAACTGTCAAAGAAGAACGAGGTTCAAAATGGCGAATTTTCGCCCCAACGGTCGCTCTGCCGGCTGAGGTAAGTTGTGGAGTGGCCAGAAAAGGGCGCAAATCTTCGTGTTGGGCCCTCCGGAAATGCCACGGCTTTCCCAAGCGATTCTCGCGCACCGCAGGCTAAAAGGACGGCCGTGGACCAAGGGGATTGTCTGCCATTATCTGGCGATTTTTTCGCCTCCCTGTAGTGCCGTCGGTAGTGCCGCGGCTCTAACGGTCTTTGGAGCCCGGAGCCTTGCGCGCTCCAGCTGATCAGAGAGAGAGCGCAGCGAGCGCTCCCAAATAATTCAGCTGCTTCCCGCAACTCAGGCTCGTTGTTCAAAAAAGGAAAAAAAAATTTTTTTTTGTGGGATACTCTCACCACTCCTCGGAAAGACGCCCTCAGGGAACGGAGATCTGCCAGATGCTCGGAGCTCCGAGCCAGAAGTTGAGATCGACTCTCTGTGAGTTCTTTTGGCCGATTTGCAATTTGGCAGAGAGAGAGGAGGATTTTATCTCTAATTCTAGAATTAAGTCAGGAGCTAAATTCTTTGCTGCTAACAGGCTTCGAGACTAAGTCAAAACTGGAGTCACGCCCAAAGGAAGGGTGTGGCCAAAGTTTTGACCTAGTCTGTCGGGTGGGAAGGCTGTCATGGAACCCATCCAGTGGACTCTACAGCCATCCTGCTGGAGAAAACAAGGATATGTTGTTGTCAACCCGTGACCGTTTTTTTTACAAAGTTACGACAGTGCTGAAAAAAGTGGTTTGTAACTGATCCGTACACTTTTGCAGGATCTCCATGATCAAAATCCACACTCTTGCCAAGCAGCATGTACATGCCATAGGGTGCAGCATCCTGGGGTGACATTTTTGCCATTTGTGAAGTCAAAGGGGGAAGCTGATCTCCTGCTTGAGCAGGGGGTTGGACTAGACGACCTCCAAGGTCCCTTCCAGCTTTATTATGACTTCACACAATCCATATTCCTTGGTTTAATTGCATTCTGGAAGGTAATGCCAAAAGGGCATTGACATGAACTTCAAGCCAAGAACAGAAGAGCATTTGTTAAGATACGTTTTACAAACACTAATTTGATTTTGATTCTTTTCTGGAGTTTTATTTTGTACATATAAAGCAACACACTACAATTCAGGCCAGCATTAAGGCCAAAATCTTTTATCAAGGCAGAAGCAATTTGGAATATATTTGGGATAAGCAAAAATCAGACTTGTAATTATTGTCACTGGCCAGAAAAAGAACCTATGAAACAGAATACAACATTTCTAACAAAACATGATACTTTTAGTTCAACCCTGTGGGCATTATGCAACTTAGGGGTACACAATTTTCAGGAATGATAGTTGTGAAATTTTTGTTTAGTCTTTAACTGACATGCATTACAAGATGCAAACTGAGCTGTAATGTACACAATAAAAACTGATTTAATTTACATACTAATTCCGCTACTTAAACCTGATTATTAACACAATTACTAAAGTCACTCCCAAAATATTTTATGTTCTTTTCTGTCCCATTAAATGCTATATTTTGGTGGGTACTTCTGGAGGGGCTTTTGAAGCCCCATGGAGATCTCAAGTGGTGCCAGGCTGGATAAAGATGTGGTTGTGGTTGGTTCTCTTTAAAAAGTGGCTAGCTACAAACTTCTCCTTTCATTTTAGAAACGTATCTAGGTATTATATAAGCAGCCAGTTTAAACGGGGCATCAGCAGTGTCGAACTGATGAGAAAAATCCTTTTTCCAAATACAGACATTTGGAACATATTATGCAATATGTATGTAGTACAATCATTCAAAACCCTGGAGTAATTTACTAAGATACTGCTATCCAGTGGTGGGATTCAAATATATGAACAACCAGTTTTCTGTGTGGATGCCGCTTCTGGAAGTCCATTCTGGGCCTGGGCAACAAAAAAAATTAGCTGCCGGTTGTGCTGAAGTGGTGCGAACCAGCTGAATCCCACCACTGCTGCTATCACAAACTAAATACAAACTTCAGGCAAAACTAAGGTTGCAGCCATGAACAAAGTGTTTCAGTGAAGCATACCATGAGCCACCAAAAATGATTGTATGCTGGAGCATTTAAGTTTTCTAAAATATGCCATAAATACATGAACGTATGTATATTTCCTAGTGACAGAGAGAAGGAAATCTCATAATAAATTTCTGCATGCATACAGTTATGCCCTTATCCCTGATTCAGCACATTTTGTGATTTCTTTAAAAAAAGCGAATTATTCTAGTTTATATTAAATCAGCAACACTTTTCAAATGCAGTTATAATATTGAGCAATTTCTCCTTTTTTTTTTGTCCTTTTTCCAGGCACCAGATGAACATTCAAGAACTACTTTGGTGAATGATAATTTTTAAAAGCACTTGGGTGGATTTGGACCTCCCAACCAACCTCAAAATAATCATTTGATTGGTTCCCAATAAAACATTCAGACTGCCAGGAGATGATTTGATTGGCTGCAGAAATTTAATCACAACTGCCAACAGGTGCAGATATACTGTTCTGGAGCCCAATAGTGGCCTACTCTCCCTAGCAGTTGATCACAACAGGCTGGTTAATCAGCAGCACCACTCCTAGGGATAAGCTTGAGACCCGGCCATCTTGGAGATCAGATTTTATCTAATAACCAATCTAGTGGACTTTTTCTGGATGCAGGAAGAGCAGTGTAAGGATCAGCCATGGTGGAAAAGGGATGCAGCTGGAAAGTAGAGAGACATGTCAGTCAGAGTCACTGCTGCTCGAAGAGGAGGAGGAGGAGGAATGCTGAAAAAAAAAAGAGGCAGTTTTCGATTGTGAAGTGTGGATAATTATGACACAGAACAGCTAAAATTATTTTCATATACCACAAGTTTGCTGTTTTATATAACATTTCTCCCTTCTAATGGCCACCGCTACTACCACATTCTAGAGCAGGGGTAGGCAACCTTGGCTCTTTTATGACTCGTGGACTCCAACTCCCAGAATTCCTGAGCCAGCCATGCTGAGGGGAAAGGGAGAGGCTTCCAAGCTGAGCCATGCTGGCTCAGGAATTCTGGGAGTTGAAGTCCACGAGTCATAAAAGGTTGCCTACCCCTGTTCTAGACATCTAGAGGATGAGCATTTGAACATCAACAGCTCACTCTTTACACATTAGAAGTAGGGCTTTATTTGACAAGCAAAGGTTGCAAGGGAAAAAATTTAAAAAGTTTCTTTTAGTGGTTAAGGCACCAAGCCAGAAACCAGGAGACTGTGAGCTGTAATCCTGCTTTAGGCATAAAAGCTGGCCGGGTGACTTTGGGTTAGTCACTCCCTTCAGCCCAACTCACAGATTGTTCTGGGGAAAATAGAAGGAGGGCGGGGAGTATAAGTCATGTTTGCCAGCATGAGTTTATAAAAATAATAAAAAATCTATTTTTTTTTTTAAAAAATCCATTAATTCCTTGTCAATTCTGAAAGTCACATTAATGCTGAATAGAGTAGGAAGCTATTTTGCAAAGTCTCAGTCGTACTTGTGGAACTGAATTCAATTTTTTATATGGCCATCCAACAATATGATTTCTGGACAGCTTAACAGAATGGCAAAAGAATAAAGCACAGTTTCACAGTGGTATAAGAAGCAAAGTATTAGGAAACAGTTTGGTGATGGTGAAGCCTATTTCACATATACTCTGGATTGTGTCTATTCCTTGCTTTTTTTTTCTTTGTCCCACAAGATCTCTTCTGCCAGTCCTACATATATTTCATATCCTTTATCTTCATTTTTTTCCAACTTTACTAGAGATCTATAAGCCAGTACTAGCCAAATCATTTCCGTCTGCAGAAATAACCAAAGGGATATGATACAGGGATGCAACCTTAAGTGTTATCAATATGAACGTAATATCCAACTTTTTTTCTTCTTTGCATCTAATCTACAGTAGGTACAAATTGCAACGGCTGTTCTAAATCGGTGCCTAAGGTAAATTAATAGAGGTTTAATCCTGGTAAGATGGAAGTACTGCTGGTGGATGATTGATAAGCCTAGCTGAGCAATGCTCTCCATCTGTTCTGAATCTGGAGGCCCTTGAAAAATCAGATCCACAGCTTGTTGATGTTCTTGGATCTACCCAGTCTAACCTGGGGCAGGGGTGGAATGCTGTTTCAAAGAAGCAGACCGTGACTGAGAAAGATCCCTGTGGTCTCAATAACAATTATATCTTTCCTTGGAGCAGTGGTTCTCAACGTTTGTGTGACGGCGCCCCCCGTCACACAAACATTCTGCGCATGTGCGGCGTGGTGCGCATGCACGGCAGCGCCCCCATGCACGGTGCGCATGCGCAGCGCCGCCCCCTGAGGGGAGAAAATGGCAGATTGCCTTCTTTGGCGACCCCCGAAAAATGGTCGATCGACCCCAAATGGGGTCGCGACCCATAGGTTGAGAACCGCTGCCTTGGAGGATGGACCTGGAGAGACCCTTTCTCTTTCAGATCTGACTAGACAGGTGGGAGCCACTGGGAGAAAGTCCTTTTAGACAATTGAGGCTGAAAGCAATATAAGGCTTTAAAAGTGACAGCCAGGATCTTAACTTGCACCTGGGTGGTTAGCGTAGTTCTCAAAACAGAGGTATTCTCAAAACAGAGGTCTAGCAGAACCTAGAGGTTTCCATCACTACTTCAAATGAGGCATTCTGGATCTACTTCCAAGTGATCTTCATATCCATTTACAGTGTATTACAATAGTCCAATTTGGAAGGCGACTAAACTTTATGACAGTGGTTCTTAACCTGGGCGATATTGCCCCCCAGGTGGCGATTTCATTTTTCAGGGGGGGCGATGGAAGGAAAAGGGGCGACACGGGGGCAAAAGAACGAAAAGGGGGTGATATGGGGGTGATGGAGCGAGAAGTTTTGGGGACACTTTTTGAGACTTTTTCGTACAGTGAATCGCTGTATATCTGTCGTACAAAAACATCAGGTCGCTTGCTATTAGTTGATTGAATTGTGTTTTCAAATGTTCCTCCAGCCGGCTTCAGTACAGAACGCCATACATATGTGAATACACATCGCTTATCTTTATGCGCGTTGCGCAGCAGCCTCTACCCATACAGTGGTGCGCCATTAGCCAGAATATGGGAGGTGTGGGGAAAAGACTGGAAATAAATTATTTGCATCGGTATGTCCTGATGACAATTTTAAAGAAAACAAAAAAAGTGTTTGCATAAATTGAAGAATTATTTCCTATGTTGTGATTGAGAGGTTATGCTGGGGGAGGGGGCGATGACAACTTCCTCATTGGCTCAAGGGGCGATTCATTCAATAAGGTTAAGAACCACTGCTTTATGAGACTGCGATGAGCAGACCACCCAATCCAGGAAAGGCTGTCACTGGTATAAGTGGGCAAAAGCCCTTCTAGCTGCAGCTGCCACCTGTTCAAGCAGGAGCCACGACTCCAGGAGGCCTCACAAGTTGGTTTTGGAAGGTTCCTGGCACTTGTCTGGCTGGGATTATGCCTGAGCCTTTTTCCTCATCCAGATATAAACTCCTCCTAGATAACCTTAAATTAGGCAAGATTTCAATAATCTCACTAGGAGATGCCCAGCTGCTGGCAAACTCCAAGCAAATCTGAGCAATTTGATCCTCCGGATATCTCGAACATTTCTCACAGAGGTCCAGCAAATAATGTCCAAGCCCATCACTCTCTTAAAAAAAAAGTCTGGGTGACTTTAAACAGGGCAGTCGGATAGCAATTTATGTATACCATAAGAGCAGAAAAAATACTGATGTTTCACTATTGTTATCTCTAAGGTGTAGGCGCAGACCTGAGTTCTTATCTAGATCTGATCAGATCATTCATTATTTTTAGCCAGATAATTCATTCTAGGTGTCTTCTCTGCTAATTATTAATAAATAACATAACTGTTTAATTTTTGTTTTCTAGAATGAAGTGTTATTCCTTTTCTAGTTTTATAGTGCAGACCAACCCGGAAAGTACAGCTTTAAAAGAGAACTTTAGAAGATGTATTTGCATTCCGTCCTGGTTCTGTGGATCTGATGAGTGAACCTAATCATATGACATTAATTTGATTTAATTTTTTCAAAAAGCAAAACTGTAGTCCTTTGATTGTAGAAGAGTGCTTGGGAGAAAATGGGTGGTCGATATCAAGTAAAATATAATGTGGGTTTTTCAAGATTGCCCTATGCATGTCTCTGGTTATTAGATGTGGAACAAGGGACACCAATCAATAAGACATGAATAGCTGCCCTACCCAATCCAAATACTGATAATTGCACGGGGAGCTCTCTCTTCAGCCAACACCAATGGTGTTGATCAGTTGTTTAGAACACAGCCAGAACAACAAAAGCAGTCTCTGTTTCAGATTGTCACTTCTATGCTAATTGGTACATTGACTATTTCTGAAGCATTCCTTCATGCATAGCTACAGTGCACATTGGGAATCAAACCTCATTGAGCAGCGCTTCCCCTCTCCCTATCCCCAAAACAACACGTTTCTCTGTTCCTCCTCCTCCACCACCACTAACAACAGCAACAAAAACAAGGAGCCAAGGAGCTAATCCTAGATTCTAAATATGGATCCCAATCAAATAGCCTTCGTGATTTTCAGAAAATGGAAGATACAATGACCCTTCATTTGTGACAAAGACATTCTCTGGCAGCAGTTGGAAATCAATTATAATTCCTAATATAGTCCACGACAATTCATTTAGTGACCGTTTGAAGTTACAATGGCCCTGAAAAAAGTGGCATGATCGTTTTTCACACTTATGACCGTCGCAGCATCCCCAGGGTCACGTGATCAAAATTCAGATGCTTGGCATCTTTACGACGGTTGCAGTGTCCTAAGGTCATGTGAGCCACCTTTTGCAAACTTCTGACAAGCAAAGTCAATGGGGAAGTCAGATTCACTTTACAACTGTGTTACTAACATAACTGCCATGATTCACTTAACAACTGTGGCAAGAAAGGTCATAAAATGGGGCAAAGCTCACTCAAAAACTGTCTCACTTAGCAACAGAAAGTTTGGGCTCAACTAACTGTAGAGCCATCCCACTCTTCTACTGACCTTTCCATGCTCCTTGTGGTGTTTGTGTGGTTTGTGCATCTTGTGTGCCTTCTTCATCTTCTTTTTCATCTTTTTAGCAGCTTTCTTGTCCATCACACAGGTGCCCACAGCAGCAGCCCCAGGCAGCAGAGGATTGACTCCTATTCCTCCGGGCATCCCAGGAACAGGTAGAGGCAAAGGACCACCAGGCAGGATAGGCTGATGACCAGGATATGGGGGCTGAATAGGATGGCCTGGTAAATAGGCAGGTTGCCCTGGGATCCCTCCTGGGGGAACAGGGCAGGGGCCAGCAGGCATAGGTGCTGGAGGGAACGCAGGGTTCACCGGAGGAGGGTATGCAGGATTGAAGCCCCCTGGGCAAGAAGGGTTGGAGGGATGGGCTGCTCCAGGGAAGGCACCTGGCTGCCCTAAAATGGAAGGTGAGAAGAAACAATAGATCTGCTACTTGATGAAACATATCCAGCTATAGCTATCTTTGTAGAATGCATTTTGTAGCTTTGGAAAAACAAATATTCAAGACAAAGCTCAATTCCTTCCTAAACTGCTACATCCAGATGCTGCTAATCTCAAACTGGTTTATTCCGTGACATCATCGGAACACTGTGGGAAACCCCAGTACATTTGGATTAAGAGCAGACTGGGAAAGGCTAGTATCGCCCTCAACTCGTGATGGATGCAAATAGCACCAGCTCCTATTTTCCCACAGTTTTACAGTAGGCTCAGTGGTGAGCATAAAACCTCTCAATCCAGCAGATTCTCCCCCAACAGCAATTGCAAATTCTTTTGCTCTTTGAGCAACATCATAAAGATGCTTTGGTTTGGGTGTTTTTTTTAATAAATAGAATTTATCCAAAAATAACCGAATCTGAAAGCAAGTCGCCTTTAGCAAATGAGGTTATCTCAGGTTCCATCTCTTAGGGCAAATTCAGGGTGCAAGTCTGGGAGACTACGGACAAAGGATTCCTCTGTGTGTGTGCATTTCAACCTTAAGCGTGTCTCTTAAAAGGAAAAATCCAAATGAGCTAATGGTGAACGAACAAAGCACTCAGACAATGTAGAGAAGAGTATCTGGCAGGCAGCGGTAAGGAAAACACACAGGAAGTTCTTCCACAGATTACTGGAGACAGACTAATTCGGTTGCAGGAAGTGGGCTGGCTGAAGTTAATTGCCACCGGCCATAAATGCCTGCAAACTTGCTTCTGGACAGATTTCCTTTCCACAGGAAATTTGCAAGACTTTTGCCACCAGTGTGCTAATGCTGTTACATTGCCAATGTAGGAGACATCAACAAAATGGCATTTAAGATATTACGGAGGTTGGAGGGGAGAAGGGGGGAGAGAGAGAGACCATGGCAACAAATGTATTAATTCAGCAAAGAGCTTGCATTCCAAACCTTTATGCGTAGCTGCCAAATGCTGGTCTCCATTAAAGCCTCCAGTCACGAGGCCAACTACTTGCCCAGAAAGATTTAATAGGCAATGACATTCTGTACTCAAAATGTGCTTTTAGAGAAGTATCCTAGCAAAATCCCCTTAAATCTCCTTCCCTTTTTACCTGCATTGGGATCCCACATGGTCCTTCACAAGAGAACAATCTGCCAATTGAGGGGAGAAGACAAAGGTAAGACCAACAGTATAAAATCAGGAGGCCATCAGTACTGCCCAAACCAGCTCAGGTGAAAAGATGCAATGAAGCCGTTTTCCGTTCAATCTTTCTCTAGGGTTAGGTTGCATGTGGCAGATATTTTAGATATACACAGTTTGTTTTCATCACGGTTTTGAACAAATTATAGCGACCTGTTCCATTTATAAAGTCAAACCACAGATCATGAGTTATAAACAATTGTAGTTGATTCCACACATCTCATTAAGAACCTCCTCCCACCCCAACCCCAGTAGAAAAACATGATGTATAAATTCAGCAAGGAGTACTAATCAAGAATCTAATGGGAAAGCGTAATTTGGAGAAACAGCACAGTGTGAATTTCAGGATTCTTTGACATATTTTTTCATTTTTTTTTTTTTTTTTAGCATTTGTAGTTCTTACTCATACCAATTTAAACAATATCCTTAACAGCAGGAGAGAAAAATGCACCCAAATACAAGAAAGCAGTTTTAAAAAAATATGAGATGAAATTTTCTAATATTCATGCTTCGTAGCAAACTCTCAATAGATTTGAAGAATTATAAAAAAAGAAACTTTGAATTTTGAGAAACTCAAATCTACCCATGTTTTATCCCCTTTTGAGATCAATCATGTTATGCAAAGTGCAGAAAAATATCAAGTCCTAGCCAGCGAAAGAAATTAAAGACAGGAGATAACAGAAAAGAGCAAGCTAAACATAGTTTACAAACACCCCTCATTATAGCCTTTTCTCCTTTTCTGTCCTTGAAACCACTAAGTATATGCATCACATTGCCTTTTGCTCTTTAAACTTTAAACTCTCTCCTTCAATCATAATTTTCTCAGTTTTCACACTTACCTTAATATACAGGCAGTCCTCAGCTTATAGCCACAACGGCTAAGTAAGGCGGCTAAGTGAGTCATGCCCGATTTATGTTTTTTTTTTTTTAGCCATATTTGTTAAGCGAATTGCTGCAGTTGTTAAGCAGGTCTAGCCTCCCCCACTGACATTTTCCTATATTTGTCCAGAGTCCACCAAGATATAGAAATTCATCCACTTGCTCTCGGGTTGGCCAATTATGTATAAATGGCAATTATTCACCCCTTTTTCAGTCAGACCCAGCATCACAGTCTGGTTTGGAGGCATCACTGCTTCAGACAGGAAGGCAGTGCAGAGAGTGGTAAAAATGGCTGAAAATATCATTGACAGTTCCCTCCCTCCCATCCAGGGCATAGCACAGAAGCGTTGCTTGAGCAGGGTCCGTAAGATTATCTGGGACACTACATATCCTCTTCACGACCTGTTTTCCTTGTTACTTTCTGGGAGGAGGCTGCGTGGCATCCGTAGCAGAACATCCAGATTCAGCCAGAGTTTCATTCCATACAGCATTAACCTTGTGAACTCTCAAGCTTCTTCCTTCTGTTATATATTCAAGATGGACAGTATTTAATATTTATTTGCTACGTATATGTAGGGGTGTGGGTCTATACATATGTTGTACACAATATGTTTAGGTGTGTGTCATGTATGCGTTTCACTTTGAGAGCGGGCAACTAAATTTCATTTTTGATATGTGCCGTTGTGCCCACAGTAAAAAAATGACAATAAAGGTTATCTTATCTTATTTTGTAATCCATATTCCATTTTCAACTGTTTTGTGTATTCCATAATTCAAGTCTACCCATTTTAGTATATGTTTTCTCTGAACCAAAACAAAAACATGTAATAAACTTTATGTCTCACAATCAGAAAGTCTGCAAACTTTCTGGCATAAAGCTGCAGAACGCTTCCCACACTTTGTTCATCGTTACCTCTTGAACCCTTTCTGCCAAACACCTTGCCAAGAACATTGATTAAACTCTGCTTACAGGATACACTCTTCTTTCCTACCGTTTAGTACAGGAGAACAATTGTGGCATCCTTCATCGACATTTTAAATTATGTGCACAAGCCGTTCCATACACACAATGAACATTTTTCTATCTACATCTGCAGCCTTGCTCAACAAATTCACAGCACCAAGATTTGTTTCAAGTAACTTTTTCCTCAAACCCAAACATTTACAGTGTACATTTCAATTCTGCTTTTCGGCATCTCACTATCACTCTCAAACTTATTTCTAAAATACATCATCCAACATTCCCTCCTCTCACTATATTTAATTTGGGTCTCTCTCAACTTTCCTCACAGAATTATTATTGTGTGGGAAAAAAGAGAAGGAAGACCCCCTGGAGATTATACATTGACGGTGAATGAAAGGCCAGATATAAAATAATTACTTAAATAAAATAAGTTCAGCACTTTTGTTTTTAATTTCATTGCCTCTGCTAAAGGTTCCTTCCTTAGCCATTTTCATTCACTTTGAAAACAATTCGTTTTATTTCTACACAAATACTCTAGATTTTCTCTGCCTCTTTCCAATCCATTCCTTATTCTTTGACTATGTTTGTTACCATTTTTTTCTTTCTAAACACATTGTATCAGTGGTGGCGAACCTATGGCACGGGTGCCAGCGGCGGCACTTGGAGCCCTCTCTGTGGGCACATGTGCCGTTGCCCCAGCCTCACCTCCCCCCGTGACCCCCTCCTCTCCAGCAATCCCCCTGAAGGAGAGTCGCCCCGCCCCTGAGTGTGGCCTATGCGGAGTAGCGCAGCCAAGGACATGGCAGCCAGGCAGCATAGACAAGACTCTGCCCTCACACCCCATCATGCACAGTTGATGCTGCAGGACGTGGGCAGAGGGCATGACCGCCATAGCGCTGCTGGGCTGCCTGGGCAATCTGCGGCGGGCCCTGGAGGGGGTGAGTGGCCCTGCAGGCAGGCGGGGTGGGGGATGGGGGTGGAGTGGGGGCAGAGGCAGGGGCAGGGCAAGGGGGTGGAGCGGGGGTGAGGCCAGTTTTTGGGCACTTGGTCTCTAAAAGGTTTGCCATCACTGCATTCTATCATATTTTTCCCTGAGCAGGAACTATTACCTTTTGTTTTTTTCTCACCCGCATCCTTTTTCATCTCAGAGGGCCTGAAACATTATTTCTTTAGCATATATACAGACTTTTGTTTTCTTTTTCTTTCTTTTTTTTAAAAAAACACATTTTAGAAATCCTAATATTGGTGTGTCATCTAAATGAGATTAAAACATTTAATATTGGGTTGAACGTTGAGGGCAAGAAATACATTATTTCAATTGCTTCTGGCCATGAACTCCTTAAGGTATCCCTGTAATGATTTAAATACAAAATACTACCTTCTTTTAACAATGCCCTAACAATTCCAGAGTAAATATTGTAGCTTTTATTTCTAATCCCATCCATGTATACGTACAACATTTAAAAAGACAAAATAGAATTAGCATCCTCCAGTTTTAAGGTCTTAATGTTCCAAGTCCAAATGATGGGAACATGGATCGACCAATACATCTCCATCAAAGCAAATCAATTTTGTTATTGCAATTAAACTAAAAGAATACATGACTGAAACCTGGCCAAGAAAGCTACATAAATTACTCTGCATTAGACTGAAGCAGGATAAAAGCCCCACATTTTTTCACTTACTGAATCCAAAGAGGTTAACAATTTTCCTGCCAAATATATTTAGATCTTCCATTACAATTTGCTTCATATGCAGACTCCTTACTTAAGCCTCGCTATAGGGATAAACTGACTGCAAATGCCATTCGGGCACATCGTCATTCTCATAGGCAGGATGATTCCCTCACTAGCAATCTTTGCACTGAAATAAGACTATCCACTCTGAAATGGTCATTGTTAATGTATACATTTCTTCTCCATGAACATTTGCACTGCTTCCATTGCAGACATTTGGACTCTGAATGACTATATCAGGGGTATCAAATTGCCAGCCTATGGGCTGGTCGCATCATATGGAGGCCGCGCCCACCCCAGCTCTGCCAATGCAAAAAAAGATGTGATACATTGCAACACGTCACGTGACGAGTTTGACACCCGTGGACTTTGTGCACAAACCCCCAAATGCTGCAAGTCAGGCAATTAATTATTTGCAGGTAAGGAAGAAGCAAATCTATAGCGGTGAAAAAAGGCTTTACTGTACATCATCTCAATAGCTCTTTCACCATTATTAAAACTAACGGTATCCCTTCATGATGCCACAAGTATGTGGAGAGAATGAGAAGATAGGCTTCCTTAAGGCAGGGTATTAACAAGGGAAATGCCTAGTATACAAACTATTTTATTTTAGCTAATATGCTCATGCTTGTTCTGAATTGAAGGCTCTGTAAGACACTGTAAGCTTTTGGGTTTGATTTGGCTCTGAAATGTTTATTAATCACATCTATAAACCACTTTTCTCATCAATTTCAGGCTGCTGGAATTGGGTATGTCTAGTTTAACGAAGAGAAGGACGAGGGGGCACATAATAGCAGTGTTCTAATATCTCCGGGGCTGCCACAAAGAAGAGGGAGTCAAGCTATTTTCCAAGGCCCCTGAAGGCAGGACAAGAAGCAACAGATGGAAACTGATCAAGGAGAGAAGCAACTTAGAACTAAGGAGAAACTTCCTGACAGTTAGAAAAATTAACCAGTGAATGCTCCAACACTGGAAGTTTTTAAGAAGAGATTGGACAGCCATTTATCTGAAATAGTATAGGGTTTCCTGTCTGAGCAGGGGGTTAGACTAGATGACCTCCAAGGTCCCTTCCAACTTTATTATTATTATTATTATTATCATCATCATCATCACCATCATCACAACTCTTGATTGCATACAAATTAATAATATTCATAGAATCATAGAAACCTAGAATCATAGATTCATAGGGGCTGGAGGGACCTCAGAGGTTTACCAGTCCAACTCCCTGCTCAAGGCAGGAGCCTTATACCATCCTACTCAAATGGTTGTGACTTGAGGTCTACCTGTATATAATGAAAGAAAGAGGGCTGAAAAAAATCCAGATGGCAAAAGCTCTTTGCTGCTGTCTAGTGTGATAATCTGGATGTTTGCAGCCTAGATATCATAATCCTAATTACAAACTAGCACTATGTTTTTTTAAGGGTTGTTGTAAAAATAAGTGTTTTAAGCTCCCTCCTCTCTGTAACAGGGAAAACAGCCTCAACTTAACACTAGGTTATTTTATAGTCTAGAGCAGGGCTAGCCAAACTTGGCAACTTTAAGACTTGTGGACTTCAACTCCCAGAAATCCCCAGCCAGCATTCCATTGGCAAGTTTAGAAAGCCCTATCTAGAACCTGCAACAGAAAAAGCTACTAGAGCTAAGTATATCTCTTGTGGGAAGGACAGTTGTTGCATTTGTTAGTAATTCTTATCTGAACCATTCTTAAGAGTCCCTTCCTCAACATATGCCTTTCAGCAGCACTGGAAAGACAATTTCAAGAATTACTGGTTGGGTATTTCAGAATTTACAAACCCAGCAAAGCTTTGACCCCTGTACAAAAATTTAACTAACAGAAGGCATCAGATTGTGACATTTTAACCATTTCCCAAAACCTGGGAATACCTAGGATCCAAACTACAGATTATTCTCATCCCTGTTTCATATGCTAGAACAGTGGTTCTCAACCTGTGGGTCGGGACCCCATTTGGGGTCGAACGACCATTTCATGGGGGTCGCCAAACAACGCAGTCCGCCATTTTTTTCCCCTTTTCCTTAGCTGTGCTACTCCCTTTTATTCTATTGGCTTTTGAAAGCCAATAGAATAGACTCTCTTGAGTAGAGTCTAATTCTATTGGCTTTCAAAAGCCAATAGGAATTGTCCAGGCTGTCTCTGCCCTGCTGAACCCACCAAAAGTCCCATTCTGCAAATGGTGGTGCACCAGTTGAGTAGTCCTCGACTTACGACTGGTTGAGTAGTCCTCGACTTACGACCGGTTGGGGTTCGTGGCATTAAAAAGGTTGAGAACCACTGTGCTAGAACAAAGCAGCCAACTCTTTCTTATGGATGGTATAATATACTCTGCAGTATGCTGAAAAAGTATTTGTATTAATTATAGTTTCTTTTCCTGCTATGGCTAATAACTAACACTGAGTCTTCCAATATCAGGTTGAGTCTTTGTAGATCAGAAACAGTCATATTTTGATCAATCAGGTCCACAAAACTAAGGAAGTTCTGAAATGCTTATACAAAACTAGCACACATGCCTACAATAAGAATACTTGAGCAAATGAGAATGGAATGAGGAAACTAATCAAGGAGAGAAGCAATCTGTAATTAAGGAGAAACTTCCTAACAGTGAGGACAATTAACCAGGGAAATAGCTTGCAATCAGAAGTGGTGGATGCTTCATCACTGGAGGTTTTTAAGAAGAGATT